CCACATGTATCACATGCGTTTCGTTGTGGGGTAAGACTGAAGTCCTAGAAAGTCTCAGGAGTCGAGCTGCCAAACACGGTCACCCATCCAAGGACTCTCCATGCTCAGCATTGCTTAACTTCAACTGATTTGTGACCTGAGCTCTATGCACATGACCACATCTTGAAAATAGTGTCTGTGTGGTGACCTTGTCCGCCAGTTTGGGTACTGTGTCAACTTCATTGTTTTCAACTTTTAATGGAGCCTCTGACGTGTATTACTTGTGTTGAAAGGCATATACACATGGAACAAAGTATTGCAACATCCCATATTCTTCATAGTATCAATATGTTACCATTAACCATAGCAAAGGAATTTATCCAAACCTCAGTTTAACTTACTGTCTTGATACATTGACTTTCAGCGAATAATTAAATGGCAAATCTTAATTAAAAAAGCATGAAAAACTGTAGCTTATTGGAAAAGGATTGACTCATTTTGTAGTCCAATGTCGTATGACGTTAACAAGTGCGCTCATTTTCAAGATTTGGATATACAACTCAAAAATCACATAAGTAATAACATCCCTGACCCTCCTGACTGATTGTATCAGATGTTGAATGTGACGTTGTGGTATTGTGTTCTATTCTTCATGGAGGGCTTGTTCTAATACATCAATATTTTGTATCTCATAATGTCCCAAACATGGGATTTAGGATCTGGACTCCTGGTGGTCCAAGGTAGAGTTGCTACCATCTCTTGACGTGAGAAATCACCAAGGACATGCGTACGATGTGGCATAGCAAGTGTCATCCTTCAAGACTGTTTAGAGGATGGCCATCAAATGTGGTACAACAACCAAAAAACATATATAAATGATATTGTTAAAGCACATGTTTTAAATTTGCTTTCAAGTGTGACTTTGTGTATATAAAATACTTGTGTACATGTGTTAACTTGGTCTTGTAGCTATTTAGCTGAAATAGACTATAGCTCATATGATGTTAAATTTGAACTCACCCACTACTATGATAGTGGTGATTTACTTGTAGGCTCATCATGTTTTTGTTTCTTGTTTGCAGCCATTTTTCCTGTACCTCGCCTATCAGTCTACGCACGCACCTCTGCAGGTCCCAGGGAAATATTTGAATCCGTACAGCCACATCAAGGACTTGAACAGGCGCAATTTTGCCGGTAATATGGTCACTGTTAAACCTGACATATTCAGTAGGTAGTCCAGTGTATGGCCTCTTTCTTCTCACACAAAGTGAGTTGGGTTCTACTCTGTTTTACCAATATGTCTGCTATATCATAACTTGTCAATTTCTAACTTTCCTTGATCGGCATTATGCTTCACCATTAGGGAAAGAGTTGATCTGACAAAATATTGAGCATTTTGCTGTTGCCCTAGGTAAGCATTGTTTGTTGGACAAACTTACTTCTTATTAAATTTTTTTAGTGAAACTTCATTTATAATATAGTCAGCAAATCTTCATATGATAATAGTGAAAGTTTGAAGGTGCATCACCACTTGCACTTCCTCATGACCATAGTTCTTTGTACAGTAATTGCTCTTGAAAGATGACCGGTGTATGACGTGAATTTGCATGTGTACGATTGTCGTTTTCAAACAATAAAATGGCTAGGAACAAACACGTACAACTGTGTGATGCAAGATGATTGTCAAAATTAATGGTTTACAGTGATTTATCGACCTTCTTGAAAACCGTCAAACTCAAGAACGACACCCCATGCACGTGTATGGGGCGACTGGTTGTGCACGTGCATCCCATGCGTTGTGTTTAAGGGTGACGATTTTGTGAAATGGTGGTGCGTTCATAAGATATCTGTCTTTGAAAAGTTTGTTAACGCTTATCTTCCTATCTAAATTGAAAGTTCACGTTCCCTTACTATTTTTGAAGAGTATAGATGCCTGATGACCAACAATATCAACCCGTGAAGATCCGGGTTAGAATATTGATCTTCACTAACCCATGCTTGTTATAAGAGGCGACTAACGGGATCGGGTGGTCAGGCTTTCCAATTCCCATGTCATCGTTTCCCAATTGCGTAGATCGATGCTCATGCTGTTGATCACTGGACTATCTGGTCCAGACTCGATTATTTACAGACCGCCATATAGCTGGAATATTGTTGAGTGCGGCATAAAACTAAACTCACTCACTCACCAACAATGTGAGGTGTTGATAAATCAGTTGTGTTCTTATTCACGTGATCCGGCTGTCAACAAAACACCCGTACAGGGCCCAGTTCCACGAAACGATCTTGGAGCTAAAGTGATTGTAACACACATACCTCAGCATCGGCTTATGATCATCATAGCTATTACGATCACATTGTGCAATGGGGCCCAGATGTTTATCGGTTACATGTTTTCAACTTCAAGGGATGACTGCATGTATGGACGAGGGGGATCGGAAACATCACTGCAGCTCTCAGTGCTACTGGCCAGCTGGAGAATACCCTCATTGTCTTCTCCACAGGTAAGTAATATTTTATTAGAGTTGAATCACAGACAGTGATGACTGTCAGACCTTAGTTAATAAAAGGTGGATGTTCTAAGTCTCTGTAGAAAATTAACCAATAAATTATATGAATTTCAGGCATTTTACAGTTCAGATACTTGGTAACATGTAAATGATACACTGACTGCATGTACAAATCTGTATTACAACTGTGCTACGTCGTACAACATCTAAATGCGAGAGTGGCAGGTGCCTCATGTAGGGCAGTGCATGTTTAAATGTTTTATGGACAACTGGTGTGTTCTCAATGAAATATCATGGATTTAAATAGAACCCCAAAAAAGTGTCTTCGGCATGCAAATTGGTAACAACATTTGCATTGTTCATAATTTGATTTTCTTTCTTTTGGTAAATTCTGAGGTAGTGGGAATTTTTATATTCAAACTTGGAACTTCTGCTGTAATTTACGTCAGGACTGTTGTTTAATGCTGCCCTCCACAATATTCCAGCTGTATGGTAGCGGTCTGTAAATAATCGAGTCAGAACAATCTAGAACCAGACAATCTAGTGATCAAATCTATGAGCATCGATCTCATACAATGGGATACAATGACATGTGACAATAAAGTTAGAGAGCCTAAACCCCCTTTCCCCCACACACACCTCGATCATCACGTTAGTCTTATGACAAGCATAGGTTTATTGTGGGTTTATTTAAGCTTGAAGACTAGAAGTTTTGTATTTGAGGATGTGGTAGAATTATGGGAATCTACTAATTATTCATGACTGTCCTGACAAAGTACTTGTTTTTCAGACAATGGTGGTCAGATCTACGCAGGGGGAAACAACTGGCCACTGAGGGGTGGAAGGCGTCGTTATGGAAGGGGATTCCATGGTGTGGGCTTTGTGTACGGTGATATGCTGAAGAACAAAGGAACTGTCAATAATCAACTGATCCATGTCTCTGATTGGTTCCCTACATTGGTGGGTGTGGCTGGCGGGAACACCAATGGAACAAAGCCTCTGGATGGTTTTGACCAATGGAAGACCATCAGGTATGCTAGTATTTATGTAGAGTTTGAAACTTATGCGAAATATGCATATTGCCGGGCAGCACATGCAAAATATCCAAATCATCATCATCATCATCATCAATAATATCAGTTGAGTATATGGTGAAAATATAGCCTAGACCTAGTCTGTCTCCCAAACGCTTGAGAATAAATTAAGTACAAGACCTGCTCAAGGCAAGGATCAATTGGCAAGTCCAAATTGCCCCACAGCTCCTGAAAATACGGATTGTTCTGGGCTCCATTTGGATTTGTTTTGAAGATAAGAATATTTCTTAATTTTAATATTGTCATTCAAGCAAAGGGCATATGGTTGTTTGAATGTTGAGACGTGATGTGTGTTTGTGGGTTTTTTTAATGGTTGTATCAAATATAACTTGTTCAAATGATTTAAATTTCTGTGTTGAATTTAGACATGTTAGCGTAAATTTCCCACCTATGAAGTATGAATTTGAAACCTTTTGCTTACAATTTATATGTTTGGAAAAAGGAGGTCTCTTCAGTAGTATATGTCACAATGACAGCAATGTTTACTTGCTTACACAAGAAGGGAAAGTCTTAAATCAATTTGCCATTGTTCCAGTGAAGGTGGAGCCAGTCCGAGGAAGGAGCTCCTACACAACATTGACATCTTGACACAACCCAAAGGAGCTAAGCTTTTTTAACAACACCTTCGACACGCGGATCAGAGCCGCTATACGAGTTGGAGACTGGAAGCTCATCACAGGAAGTCCAGGTTTGTGGACACTCACTGCTTAATACTGAAGGGTAGCTTAGTGGTTAAGGTGTTTGCTCGTCACGCCGAACACCCGTGTTCAATTCATGTCTTTGCTCACACAGTCTTCCTCCATCCTCAGGAAACGGCAGCTGGATTTCGCCGCCACATCTCAGTAAGGAGACGGTTGTGGACAAGGATGATAATGAAGAATCTTTGGCTGTTTTGACATCGCAAATGACCCAAATGAACACAATGACTTGTCAGCATCACAACCAGACATTGTTAAGAAGCTTCTGGACCGACTAGAGTACTACCAGAAAACAGCAATACCCCCAGGTACCCTGATCCTGACCCTCAAGTGTGACCCCAAACTACATGGAGGGTGTGGGGCCGTGGGAGTAAAACAGAACTTACTCTGTACAGTAGAGTAGGTGGTTTAGGTTGTCTCTGATTTGGGTTAACATCCCGAATATACTATAATTGATTAACTGACAAGATAACCTTAATTAAAGCTGAAAGCCCCTTTTATATATACTTCTATGTACTCCTTTTAAATGTGACTTGATAAGTCTTAAACATATTATTGGAATTAGCTTTGAAGATTAGTTGTCTTTAGACGAAGCTTGCAGCTATTTTGGAAGATAAGTCAACTTTATTTGCCTGATATGTTGAATGTAACTGGGACCTTCTTCATCTGGCTGCTCAGTGCAGCCTCTTTTGATTGGTAGATCAATCCTTTAGAATGTAGCTTGGGTCATTTTTTGTTGATCACTCAATCGTTTGGAATGTAGCTTTGGTCATTTTTCGTTGATCACTCAATCCTTTGGAATGTAGCTTGGGTCATTTTTCGTTAATCACTCAATCTTTTGGAATGTAGCTTGGGTCAGCTTTCGCTTGTAGGTCAGTCCTTTAGAATTTAATTGTATTCGTATAGTATCCAAGATATTTTTATTGATTTAACTTCTTTGTAATTTCTCTCACGACGTTTCGAGACCATTCCAGGTCCCTTCATCAGGTGAACAGGTGAGAGAAATTACAAAGAAGTTTAATCCATAAAAATATCTTGGACATCAATGTACAACTTCTAAATGCCACTGAAAGACATCATTCGTATGGTAGTTTGAAGATTCTTCAAATATTTATTGTCTCAGTTGGTAAATATATATTTTCTAAATTGTTTCCCCCTGACATCAGTTAATTAGAAGATAATTTACTCTGTTTTCAATTTTGCGGTCCTTTTATCGTTGATTAAGACCGCTAAATGTAATTTATAAACCGAACGCGTCAAAAAGTTAATTGTATTCATACGCGGTGAATCGGTCTCTTTAATTAGAGGTCCTTAAACTGCCATTGAAGTATGGTTTTGATGAGCTCTCAGCCAATCAGAACTGAGTATCACACAGTGTAGTGCTAGAACAATGGATTGACTGTTTATATTACTTCCTTGTCAGTTGTTTAATATGAGGGTATTTATGAGACACCATTGTTTATAATTTGATACTTTTATACACATACCTTTATATTTTAATTATGCTTATATCATGGTATATTTCATATTTTTAAATGAGGGAAACACATGGGTGATTGGTGTGTGTATCCATGGCTTTGGAGGAAACTCTAGCTTGTATTCTCACTCATGGTCTCAGAACAGTGATAATACTTGTATGTATTCAGTAATCTTGAAGAAATCATACTTAACCATTTACTTAATACACTTAAATCATTGATCCAAACATTATTCATCTTTTCTATAGAGATGTTATGTCACAAGCGTCCATGACAGACTTTTTATGATATTGTCACATAGTTACTGATGCTTGGCCAAATGTAATTGATTGGCAGTATGCATGTAAATGTAACATATCAAAGAGATTAATGTAGTAACGAGGAAAGATATTTTATGCATTCAGGCTGAATGCAATTAGAGGCTAAAATTTGAAGCAAAGATGTCAACCAACAATATTTCCACAGTGGCAATATTTTGTTTTGACTGTCTGAATGTTTCATGACATGCACGGTAAGATACAATTTGTGTGTTCTATTTTATTGTTGTGGTTCACATGTGTACATTCCAGAGACTCAGCAATGTGAGGTTTCAAATTACATTAACCACCTCTAATTACTTACAGTTATCTCACTGCACCTATCACATTGGGCTTCAGAAGTTCACAAGATCAGATGGACAGTAACACTTCAGACCTCTGATTACAATATTTTGATGAATACTGCTTGTTTATTGATCTACATAGAGTTTATGATATATCATACTGGAAGGGATTGTTACCATACAAAACGGTTTTGTGTTTTTAAGAGAATCGTCTATTGTTGGATAGTCTCAGTCAACTTTATTGATTCAATAATCCATCAAGTCTACATTCAGGTGATAGCATAACTGGGTTATTCGGGAGCTGCGAAAATATCTTGTTATTAGTTATTAATAGTATTGATGTAGACGATATGTTAGTCATATTTCACATATGGTAATTCTCCCTAGTTAATTGTGTCACAAAACTAGACACAATATTTGTATACAGAAACACACATAACTAATAATGAATGTGTATAATGTTTATGGATTAAATTATGCTTTATTTGGGGTTATAAACCAAATAATCTTACCTTTATATCTGGCATGACCTATATTTATTTTTGATATATTTGAAATTGTACATGACATTGGGTCAACAGAAATGTCAAGATGTATATCTATTTGTTTATAATTTGTATTTAAAAAACCTGGGTGCAGGTTTACAACAGAGCTGTGAGGTGGGCTTACACATGATTTTTGCTAAAGATCACCATGGAAGTTGGTCCCAATACTATCTAAATATAGAGCTTTGCAACCTATGGGGCTTACATGAGAAAATTGGCTTGCTACAGACCTTTGGAGCATTTTACTGAAACTTGTACAACCACTACAAATGACATGTCCATTGTATTGACAATAAATATGATTAAACCAAAAATTGGTGTTCATGTCAATTTACAGGACAAGTGTGACATTTCATGACTGCATAATAGATTTTATTGCTCTGCATTCATCAGTTGTAATTCTAAGGTGTTTGATTTTTAACATCACCCTCAGCAATATTCCAGCTATATGGCGGAGGTCTTTAACTAATTAAGTCTGGACCAGACAATCCAGTGATCAACATCATGGGCATCAATCTATGCAATTGGGATACAATGACATGTGTCAACCAAGTCCGTAGGGTTGCTGAAGACCTATTCTAACCCGGATATTCAGGGGTTGTGATTCTAGGAGGATGAAGGAGCCTTAGAATGACTCTTAGAAGTGATGAAAGAGAAAGCATATACTCTGGAACATAGAGTTCCTTATATTTAAAAGGTTGATACCACAACATTTCTCCTTAAAGGTTATGTACTTGTACAATATTGACAAACCTTATGGATAACAAGTTCTTTGCTTTCATGGGAGCAATGTAATTCCTGCTTGGCAACAGTACAAGAATCTGTATCGAAACGTGGCACTCACGAAGTAAATTCCTGCTTGACAACGGTAAAGTTATCTGTATGGGCTAAAGAATCTGTATCGAAACTTTATCTCTTTCAAAGATCAATGGCGGTTCCCAAAGGAACACACAAAATGTACAAAGTACGTACTTTTACTTGGGAGATGTCATATGTTTCATGTCCCGTCGTACAAACATAATGACACGGTAACATCAGTGCATATCCATGGTGAGACCAATTTGCGTAGTGACTTATGAACCCAGTCCCTTAGCAACAATGTGTTCATTCGTAAATTAGCAATTTCGTTTGTTTCAATCAAAACAAAAAAAAACATTGCGTAGAACAATGCACAACATAAAACGTTTTCAGTGCAAATGGCCCCACACATAGCATCACATCCTTCTAACCGGCAGGAACTTTGAGACTCAATACTGTTCATAGAGTAAAGTCTGAATTCTTGTTTTGTTTACAAACGCGCAGTCTCCTCCTGAGCGCACCCCGCCGTGAATTGCAGGGATATTTAAAAGCGGCGTAAAACCATACCACTCGCTCTTCCGGAGCACAGCGTTCGGTTTCACATCTAATGTTGAGCTACTCTACTTCGTTTTATTTCATCAAGGCACGTTGTAATTGGTGACGATGACCTTTAGCCGTTTGATTCTAAAATGTTTGAAGAATTCAGGGATGTATGTGTCGGAGATGAGTGTGAAATTTATGTTATTTAATAGACGTCCCGTGACCTGCCAAGTCGAAATGTCATCCTAAACTCTCGTTTTTTTGCTTATGCTTGTTGTTTAACGCCAAACTCTGCACTCTCCAGATATATGAGGCGGTCTTTAAATATGGTCAAATGTAACATATGTTATGTTTGGGATTACACTTTCTTAGTGAAGTACAGATTCTATTTTCAGTGGCATTCCAAACGGCAAAGTTTCAGAATATTCGTTGGTGATTTAATAAAAAAACCCAGATACCCGTGATCTCTACTATGCTATTTTCTAACTTCTGTTCTCGAGTAATAATATATCTGATTTTCATATTTTGCAACAAACACACTAAAGACTGTGGTAATGTGTCGAAAACAGAGATTTGCGATGTACATTTTCGTTGGTCATTTTCCCCAGTTTTCACAATTCTAGAATGACAATGGAATATCTTAAAATAAAATTGAAACTACCGTGAACAAAATCAGGATTATAGAGGCAGGATATACACTCTTCGTAATCACTCTCCTACCCAGAGTTCCATGCGGCCCGCATAGGTTGCTTAGTCACCATTGTGCCACAGTGTGTCTTCGTCATCACTGCATTATGAGGTCAGAATACCATGACGTCACAGACTTCAGTCAAGACTCAAATGACAATTTGTAAGAACAATACTGGAAATGTTTCAAAGATTAATAAGTGGAGTCATTTTCAAGATTATGACATACGATCCTCAAGAAATTACATAAGTAACAATATACAATAGCCGAGAACAGTGTCAATATTTTGAGTAACGTCCTCCAACTGCAATAACATCACTGACCCTCCTCCTCATTGACATTATCAGACTTTGAGTTTGACGTTGGGGCATTGCGTTTCATTCTTAAATGGAAGGCTTGTTTCATTCCATCAATATGTTTTACTGGAAGATCTCTGTGACCCTCATGCCTCAAACATGTGCACGGTGTGACTAAGCATTGTCGTCCATAATGACTGACCTTGAGATCAGAGGATGGTCATTGACAGCAAAACCCTGTCTAAGAGGTCCAATCAGATTGTGTCTGATCGTCACATGGTTTGCTGATGTTTTCCGGCCAATCGGCTGGTGGATTAAGGATGCCAATCTCTTGCAATTGCCCTCAGTGACATGAGCCATTGCCAGTTGAGGAGACCCCACATTTGCTAAAGTCAATTGATTTTCAAGCAGTAAGATCAGAAAAATTATATTTGTTTAATGACGGATTTAAATGAAGTTTTCTCTAGCATATCTACAAGTAACGTATGGTACACCTGAATGGTCTAATCATCGTACAAACAAAACTATGATATGAATATAAAGGTTATATGTGAGTTAAAAAATCATAGGTGTTGCAATATTATTTCCATGTGTATATTTGCATTAATTTGTTTCTGTTAAGATTCTGTGGGAGGCAATTGTGTACTGAGTACTACGTTTAGTTTGGGCAGGGAGAATAGAAGACGGATTGCTGTAGATTATCCCTGGTTTGGGAGAAAAGACTGCTTTGGAAATGTCTAGGCCTATTCCGGAATATTCAAGTGTAGTCTGGCCCAGAGAGTTAGTGAGTTCAGTTCACCTAATATACTATCCCAAAAGAGAAACGCATAGTCGTTTTGTATTTCTGAAATCGATTAATTACCAATTGTCAAAATATGTAACAAAAGTGTTTATAACATGATTTTACACTATTGCACAAGTGATAAATCGACTTTACCTGA